TCACTCTCTTCAAAGTTATTCTCAATATTATTATTGATTTCCTTAACAATATCTGGCTCAATTTTCGAATTTAAGTCTGATGGCAGCTTTGCGTTCCGACCATACATCATATAAAATGAGGTGAATCCTGTAGATTTGTGGACACTGGTTCCCATTGCAAACAGTACCCCCGGAAGAACCCTAGGCCATAGTGTTTGATCATCACTCAAAACCTTTAACATTAAGTTTTGAATAGTACGATTATTCCTTTCTGTCAACCCATTAGCTTGAGGATGATATGCACTGCAAATGCGTTGCTCCGTCCCTGTCATTTTATGTAATCTCGTGGCCATTCCATTCACAAACTCTCGGTCTTGATCATTGATTTGTATCTATATTGTATAAAATCAAAAGTTTATAAATTATCAATGCACATTTTTTAACCGATATATATTTATATAATTCGATTTACAGTTGCGCAGCCACGGCGGCAAATCAGACCATAAATAAATTTACAAGTCTCTTCAGCTGTCTTTGATTTCATAGGTTCTGCCTCAACCTATTTTGTGAAATAATCAGAGGCAACTGCAATACATGTGTAGCCTTCTTCTGAAGTGGGCAGGCTGCAAAGATCAATTCCTATTTGACCCCATGAAAGAGGTGGTACATCTATTGGATTCAATGTAGAAGAAATTTTAGAAAATCTTGTATTGGCCTTCTGACATCTATCACATGATTTTATAAAATCAATAGTGTCTTGAAATAATTTTGGCCACCAATATCTATAAACACAAAATTAACAAATTAACACCATAATAAATACCTTTCAGAGAGTTTAAGTTGAGTTTTATTAATGCCTAGGTGGGCACCAATAGCTTTAGATTCTAGGGATATATCTGATCCTTGGTGAATATTAGATATTACCCTTTGTTTCTCTGCTTCATCCATTATTACTAAAGCTAATAAATAAATAAAAATTATTATTTTGTGATCACATTTACCTTCTTTATTCTTTATTTTTCTATAAAGAATATCTTCTCTAACAATAAAATTTTGCCGTACATCTAAAATTACTTTTTTTACCTGGATCATTTTTAAGGAGTAAAGGATATTTTCCTGTTACTAGACATTCTTTTATTGTTTGATATTTATCTGTTATTGCTTGATATAAATTTATAATTATAAATCTAAATGTATCAATTTGATTCATTAAAAATTTTGTGATATTTTAAAGCAGTAGAATATTTTCCTGTTATAAGTATTAGCAATAAAGGATATTTTTGATATTTATCTGTTCCTGCTTGATATAAAATTATAATTATAAATTTAAATGTGCCAATCTGATCATTAAAAAATTGTGATATTTTAAAGCAGTAAAGGAAGGATATTTTCTGTCATTAAGTATTGGCAGAAAATGATATTTTTCTGTTACTTATACTCTCTTATTGTTTGATATTTAATTTTTATTGCTTGATATAAATATAATTATAAATTAAATGTACCAATTTGATTCATTAAAAATTAGGTGATATTTTAAAGCAAGTATTGGCAGCAATTGATATAAATATAATTATAAATTTAAATGTACCAATATGATTCATTAAAAATTTTGTGATATTTTAAAGCAATAAAGAAGAATATTTTCCTGTTATAAGTATTAGCAATAAAGAATATTTTTGACATTTATCTGTACTTGCTTGATATAAAATTATAATAAATTTAAGTGTAACATCATTAAAAAATTTGTGATATTTTAAAGCAGTAAAGGAAGGATATTTTCTGTCACTAAGTATTAGCAGCAAATGATATTTTTCTGTTACTTATATTCTCTTATTTTGATATTTAATTGTTATTGCTTGATATAAATATAATTAAAATTTTAAATGTACCGATTTCATTCATAAATTTTAGGTTTTATTCTTAAAAGTTGAGGTTCGGTCATAAATTATCAATACGGTATTGATTTTACAATATTGTAGAATCAATACCGTATTGAATTTAGATGGTATTGTTTTTACAATACTACACCGGCCCACGTATATTTTAAAATTTTTAAATTGACCCGGCTTAGGGCCGGGCCTGCAGGTCTCTGATTTTAAGTAATAATAAAGATTATTTTCTATATTTAAATAAATTCGGGCCTGGCTGGGCCGGTAATTTTTTTAAAATAAATTTCGGGTTTGTGTTGGGCCGGCAAAACTTTTTTAAAAAAATTCAAGTTCGGGCCGGCAAAACTTTTTTAAAAAAATTTCGGGCTGTGTCGGGCTTGAAAAATTAGGCGGGTAATTCCATACCAGATTGATAACTTTTCGGCCCGACCTTTTTAATTTGGATAAAATTTTGTATGCTGAGAGAATATCATTAGAAAGCATCGAATCCAAAATTTTAGCCTCCTAGTACTCATAGTTCCTGAGATATCAATGGTCAAAAGTGCCAAAAATGACCTTTTTTCGAAAAATACGATTTTTTGAAATTGAGATAAGTTAAAAAATATTGATTTTAAAAATATAAGTTATATGTCATATATTAAGGATTTTTTTGAAATAATATTTTTGTGGACTTTATTTACGATATAAATTTTAAACATAAAAATTACAGGTGTTTCGCTTTCCATATTTTTTTGAACTTAATATTTTTTTAGTAAATCTATCTCAATACCCGGCAGACAAAAAATTCATGCAGTGTTTCCGATTGGCTTAACTAAACTCAACACTAAACTATATTCTAAATCGCAAAAATTTATTTTGGAGAATATAATATATCCACGTGAGGATCCTTTGATTGGGGTTCTGTTAATCAATGAGATTAGAGGATATGTAACATGTGCATATGAAAATGATTGGTGGTTAGGATTTGTACAAGAAGTGAATGTAATTAGAGATGAAGTAAAAAATAATTTTCTTCACCCTAAAGGACCAGCAAATTTTTTTGTTTATCCAGCTGCACAAGATATCCTTTTCATACCAAAAAATAATATTTTAACAATAGTTAGTTAGCCCATCAACGGCTACTGGGCGTACATATAATTTATCGCAATACGAAATTAACTTGGCGTCAAAAAAACTAAATTTAATGAAAACCCGAAAATAGGTAATATCTTTCATGAATTTTAATTTATCTATTATATCTTCAAAATTTATAAAATAATTTTTCGAAAGTTAAAATTTTTTATAAAAAAAATGATTATAACCGCAGCTAAATAATCTCATTTCATGATATTAATGATAGAAAATCTTGTTATTTATGTTTAAACATAAAAAAAAGTTTAAAAAAATAATAATCTTAACAAAACGCGTTATAAAGGAGCCATTTATTTTTGAAAAAATATTTAATTTTTGATTTTTTATAGTAATAAGTAAAAAACCCATGGCTGTCCCAAGTTTAAATTTTTTTTATGAATAGATATAAGGTTAGAGAATAAGAAAATATTAAGTTCAAAAAAATATGGAAAGCGAAACACCTGTAATTTTTATGTTTAAAATTTATAACGTAAATAAAAACCACAATATTATTTCAAAAAAATCCTCAATATTTAATAAAAGGCCTTTAATAGAGTTACAAAATGACATATAACTTATATTTTTAAAATCATTATTTTTTAACTTATCTCAATTTCAAAAAATCATATTTTTCGAAAAAAGGTCATTTTTGACACTTTTGACCATTGATATCTCAGGAACTATGAGTACTAGGAGGGCAAAATTTTGCATTCGATGCTTTCTAATGATATTCTCTCAGCATAAAAATTTTTATTGAAATTAAAAAGGTCGGGCCAAAAAGTTATCGATTTGGTATGGAATTACCCAGGCCCAATGCATATCACTAGTATATAATATCACTAAATATATTAATTGCAAATATAATTATTTATATTTCATTGTAAATATAGAAATGATAATGAATATTTTAAATATCATCATAACTACACCATTTTTTTACAATTAAATAATAATCTAAAAAACTTTGGTATTTGAAATATAGATATTTTTACAGCTTTTATTTCCACAAATTAGACTTTGATTTTAAATTTAAGCCATAATGCCTTTAACTTTTAATGAAGCTTAGAGTCATGATTCATATATTTGTAAGTTTATAATATTAATTCCACAATAAAATTTTAATTAGGAAAAGAATAATCTCCTTATAATTAATATTAGTCCTTATTATTTAAAATATTAGGCATTAAATTAACAGTATATTTTATTTCTAAATAATTTTTTTATCTATTTAAAAAAAATCTGTGAATCATGCTTTAATAAATATATTTTTTTTTAAATACTAACTCTTATGAATATCAGATTGAAAGTACGAACCAACACTGACATGGTAATCATCAATAAAAATACCATGAGTATCAGTGCATCTCTGAATTTAATTAATAAAATGTTAAAACAAAATAAAAATAAATTTTCTATAAGGTAAATTTTAAAATTTCCATGTCTTTTAGACATTTTTTAAAAAAAATTTAGATATTTATATAAATATTTTTATACTTGCTCTCACAAAATCAGAACATTTTATGTGTTAGATCAAGGATTTTAATATTGCTAATTTATAATAAAGATATAGTAAAAATTAATAATGCATATAAATGATAAAATTTTATATGATCATTTACGTGATACGTGATAAAAGAGTTTTTGCCCTCTGGTTGTACAACAGAGCTACGCTAGGTTTTCCTCAAAAATCCATCAAACTGGATAGTTAATTTAGGGGAGAAAAAAAATGAGGAGCCCTTCACGCGTTTGTGGGCAAGCCGCACGTACTTGTACATGCAGGAGTCCGAGAAACTGTAGCTTAAACGTCTATAGGCTAATCAACAAAAGAAATGGGCAAAACAAAAGCCTATACCCATGAACTGCCAAAATAATTTAATTACTTTAAGGGTGGGTGGTGGCTAATTTTAAGTTTAACATCTAATGTAAGCCTTGATAGTTACTAACAAATAATTGAAAATGTGTTCATATCAATTGAGATTAGAATTTATTCATGAAAATAAGGAAAAGCTAAAATGGGTTTACCACAAATTGTTTAAAATAGGTGAAAATTCCAGTGAATAGGCAAAAACTAGTCAGTAATCGGTTTATGACTATCCAGCAACGAACACCACACAACAAACGGTTATTTTTTCCTTTTTCCAGAGAAACAAAATACTCTATGGAGTGATAGATTATATAGCGAAAAAGGTCTTTGATCATGATAAATTGGAAAAGTTAAAAGTCATATGTCGGTTTTTAAAAAAAGTTTTGCAACGTCAAAAAATGGAATTATATTTCATAAATTTAACTAAAATTGGAGGTATTAAATATAAAATTAGAAATAAAAATATAATAACATTCTATTAGTTAAAAACAGTGGAGGTAATGGGTCTCTATTTATTTTTATTGAAAATAAAATATTTCATAAAATATTTCATAAATATTTAACCTATTGTTTTTTTATACATTATAAATTTGAAGAATTTTTTTTTTTTATGATGTAAATAATATGTTAAAGATGTAATTTTATGCAAAATGTTTGGAGAAAAGTTTTTACAGATTGGGTAAATTTTGGTGATATGTGATTTATAGCTCTCTGACTTTGAAAATTCAATAGAGCTGCGCTAGGTATTCTTCATTTCCAACTCACTGGAAGGGAGTTAAACATACCACAAGAATGAATTTAATCGTAATATATCGTCAAATAAAAATATCATGAATGGTGACAAAGATTGGTATAAAACCTTCAAGGATAATATATGGGACAAAGGCACGGTAAAACGCAAAAATGGGAATTTATTATATGAGATAGATACAGGAAACAGAATTATTAAAAGACATTTAGACCAAATCAAAAAAAGGTCAACGAGTATCATACCTCTTAATAATGAAATGACACATATGAAAACAAATACCAATACAATACCTTGTACTCTAAGTTTTAGAAGGGGAAGAAATAATGATGAACCAGCGGGAAATTTTGGTGAAATAATAAAAATGATTAGCTCTCTACTTGTGTGAAAGTCGCACGTACTATATACACAACAGTTAGAGAACTGTTATTTAAACTCCCACAGGCTATTAAAATAAGTTCTGGGCAAGACAAAAGCTAATGACCGTGAACTACAGTATAAAGTACCTTAACGGTGGGAAGTGGCAGATTTTCAGTTTAAACCCTTTAATGTAAGCTTTAAATGATTACTGACGATATTTAAGAATTAATGTTCAATTAAATTTCAATTCATCCTAAAAGAACAAAAATTTAATAATATTTATTATTTAACTTCTGGTAAAAATAAAATGTTCAATTCTAATATTCTTTGTAGCATTCACTTGTATGGGAAAAACTCTGAGTTCGGGTTGGGATTCCTTATTGGAAACGCCCATGAAAAATTACGAATTTAATATATCTCATCTTTTAAATTCCATATCTTTATAATAATTTGTCAAAACATAAAATCTACTAGAGATGTATTTGATAATAATATTGTTTGTTATTTGATTGCATGAGATTTTGGATTGTGAGCTTTCATTTGAAGTATCTCTCTTTGATCCGAAATAGTTTTTTGATAGATTTCTTACAGTTATTTAGTTTTATAAATTGTGTCTTATTGATATTTAATTCCATCACACCTTTTATAGGTTTATAGTATCATAGAGATTTGTACTTTGTGTACTGTTTCCTTATGTATGTAGGAAGCCATGTTATATCATCACTAGATTGTGATCAGAGTTTTTATTATTATGTAGGCTAGAAACTGAATTTGGCGTTTTTTTAATGTTATAATTATTGGCGTATAATCTGACCTTTTCCAAAGATTGGTATTTGAGGTGATTTTTTGATGGAAGATACAATTTATGATTTGGAGACAATTATTAATAAAGCGTAGGAGTCGTCTAATTTATGTTTTGTTTATTTTCCATACGTCTCCTCCTTAGTGTAATATTAGAATTTTTTTAATTGCTCCTTAATATCCCATTGAACTAAAAATATATTTTTTTAATTTCCCCCTGAACGATTTATTTTATAATTCTAATGAGTATTATATAGATTTAATTTTATTATTTAAAAATTAATAAGACTATCTAAATTTTTATTAAATGAATACTATTTAATAAAAATTTAGATTAGATTAATACATATAAATTATATTTTCACTATGTCAGCTTGCAGTCATATTTTGTGTTAAAAATATATCAATATCACTCACTAAATATTAATTTAGCATTAATCGTTTAACCTTAATTGACTTTTATTATTTAATTATATAACCCTAATAAAATAAATATCTATATTATAATTTTCCGATGTCCTCACTACGTCATCGTGACGTCATGTCATCGCTACGTCATGTCATCGTTACGTCATGTCATCGGTACGTATTTGTTTATTATTTGTTTATTTATTTTATACAAACAGATGATCCTATAACTTAAATTTTCTATGCAACTGTAGGAGGCCATATTAAAACCAAAAAGTAATACATTATTTACTAAATATTAAAAATTATTAATATTATCTCTAGGCTTCAGAAATTTTTTTCAAAATTAATGCAACTGTAGGAGGCACAATATTAGGAAGCTAATTAAGAAGCATATAATTATAAAAAAGTTTATCAAGCCCAGCTCAATCTTTAATAATTTGTAAAAGATATTCCCATGTCCATTGATCAGTCTTGAGTTTATACCAATGTTTATATATAGAAAAGTAATACATTATTTACTAAATATTACAAATTATTAAGAAAGTCCATCAAAAATGACGGGGAATGAGATTTTTATTCATTTTTTACGATAGTGTCATGACAGGTCCAAGCTCACAATATTAAGAAGCATATAATTATAAAAAAGTTTATCAAGCCCAGCTCAACCCTTAATAATTTGTAAAAGATATTCCCATGTCAGGTGCAAGCTAATATTAATTTTGAGGTTCCATGCCCAGTCGTATCCAATATGATTTTGAAAATTTTTTCCCACCTCGGAAATAGTTAAATTTTTAATTGATTTATCATCACATGATGGGTAAATATCTGATTTACCCATTAGTTTAAAATGTAAAAAAAAAACATAAATAATATTAGGGCAGACTTTATTTTGTCATGATTCTCTAATAAGTGCTTTGTTCAGGCTTTCTCAGTTTCCCTTATTACCAATTCACATGATTTTTTTTCAAAATTAGTGCAACTGTAGGAGGCTTATTAAAACCAATTGTCATAGTAATACATTATTTACTAAATATTACAAGTTATTAATATTTTATATAGAAATTCATAACTGAGTTAATTCAATAAATTTAATATCACTAGGCTTGGGAAATTTTTTTCTAATTATTATGGGTTGGACTGGGCTTAGAAAATATTTCTCAAAATTAATATTGGCTTGGTTTTCAAAAATTATTAGGGATTGAAATGGGCTTGAGAAATTTTTTAAAATTATTAAGATCTTGGATGCTTGGAAATTTTTTCCAAATATTGTATTGAACCTATATTGAGATTTTTTAATGTTAAATGTTAGTCTTATGTTAATATTTTTATAATATTATATTTTACCCGTAGACTAATTGGTAAATCAGAGATATCCCCTTCATTAATTATCTCTGGGCTTGGTTTCAAAATTATTAGGGATTGAGGTGGGCTTGAGAAAATCATTTTAAATTATTAAGATCTTGGATGCTTGGATATTTTTTACAGATATTGTAGGCTTGAACTTAGATTGGGATTTTTTAATGTTAAATGTTAGTCTTATGTTAATATTTTTATAAAGATATATATTTTAACTCAAAGAATAGTTTTCAGGAGCATACAAAATGTAGACTGTCTATGCTATGCCGACAACATATGTATCCCTACTAAAGATATCACTAACATTCATTATTTTAACAACAGTCTCAAATAATATGGGAAAAATCAAAATTTAAAATTACTACCCTTTTCCTTTATTTCCCTTTTAATTTCTTTTATTATCTTCCCCTTTCTCATCATTTCCCTTTCCTATCTTCACTTTTTAATTTCCTTTTTCATTATCTTTACCTTCCTTTCCCTTTTAATTTCCCTATTTTCTTTCCATTTAATTTTCTCTTATTTCCCTACCTCAGGCTACACACTCCAGCCGAAGGCTGGGCTTATCAAAAAAAAATAACATTCAATTTTTAATTCAACTCATATTCAAGCAAAAAAATTATACTTCATATGACGTGAAGCCCAATAAAATATACCAAATGCAAAATAAAGTTATTCATCTATATATACTAAAAATTCTTATACTTTTCATTTTAGAATACATCTATTTAAGCTTCTGATGGATGATATTCCCACTATTTCTAGAGAGGTTAACCATCCCTGCTGATTATTTTGAATAACTCACAAAAAAATAAGTACATTATGTATATTTTAAATAATTATATATATGATTTTATATCTATTCCAAAAAATCGAATATTTTTTTATAATTTAAATAAATTTATATTATTTTAAGCATCCTACGTATTTTTAAGGCTATCCATTTTCTCGGGCCGCACAATATACCCTTTTATCTCTGATGAATATTTTGTCTAACTGAAAATTATACAAAGTACATTTTTAAAATTTAACTAAATTAATATAACAATTTTTAAGGATCCTACTTTTTTAAAAGCTAACCATTTTGTCGGATCCACCATTGCTCTATTATTCCTGTTGATTATTTTGTATAATGCTCAAAATAATATACATAGTATATTATTTTTATTATTATTATTTTTATATATGATATATCTATTCTAAAAAATCATTATATATTACAATATTTATTTATATTCAATTAAAATTATATATCTATTCTTAAGGTTCATACCTTTTTAACATTACTCCTTTTTATTCTTTCAATAAAAAAATACTAAACGGGGTTTTCTATTTTTATATTTATTCAAAAAAAATACATATTACGGTATATATATATTATTTAAATTATTCTATACTTATTCACAAGGATCCTATTAATTTTTTTAAAATTTGCCAATTGATCTCTCCGAATGGTATTTTACTTTATTCCTACCTTATAAATTCAACTTGAGAATTATTTTATGTTTTATATAACTATCTCCATCTTATTTCCTCTTTAGAATTGTTCAAATATTGATATATCGGCCATTAATAGTGCACAAATGCAAAATATACCTTTAGAATATCATAATAGGCTTGATAAGCCCACCCCCCAAAAATATTTTTTGATGATATC